GCGATGATCAAGAGAAGCCTGAGCCTATCCTGCGGCTAAGCCCGTCCCTGTCTGTAGAACAACTTGCTCTTTAGTCCAAACAGAAATCGATAGATATTCTTCTCATGTTAATTCCAACTGTTTATACAAATTTACATGTATCTGCGGGAGCAGTCAAACTGGGAGAACAGAAAGAAGTGCATACCTTCGATTTTCTGAACATGTACCAAAAAGCCTATGTCTGAAGGGAACGAATGCTTTCAACAGTGCCATCGCCAGGCATCTCCTTGACACGAGTCATGAGGTGGACGTCACAAGATTGTTCGAAATTACCAATAGGCAAAAGAGTTCAATTCTCCTTAAGTTTACCGAAATAGTCTCCACCAAGTGCCTGAAACCTGATTTATGCGTTCAGTCTTTTGTTGCTCTGGTAACTGGGTATTTTCACGTTTCTTTCATCTGATTGAGTAATGTAGGAAGTTTCCATTGTATATGATCATTATTGTTCGGAACAGTGTTTAATATTATATATATATATTTACTGTATGCATATATTGACTGATTGATGTTTGTTTAAAAATGAATTCTGTGCAAGACTGTTAAAATTGTTTTTGTAGATACACTTACTAATGTCTTTGGCCTGTGAGCAGCTGGTGAGGAGGCAACGAAATAATAAGTGATAGTACCGTTTTATTCTACAAAAACTGTTGTTCTTGCTTTATTTAAATCGATTAAGGGGAATAAATGCATGAAATCTTAAAGTTACTGACTCTCTATAGGAAAAATTAATTACTTGACCATTTGGATTCATAAATACACACTATTTAGAATTAATCATTTTTGTTTTTATACACTAAATAGTGTAAGTACTTTTCACAGAGAAGAAAAATGCAATAAATTTCGTTTGAGTCAAACTTTCCTAACAACAATGTTTTACATATATATCGTCAAGAAACCCCTGACCAATATTTCATGATTTATTGGGAATCGTCAGCAAGGCATACCTGCAATCTTGATGAAACTCTCTGGAATTCTGACCCGCTCACCCTAGTGCTGCTACAGTCAGAAGCGCTACCACTGAGCTGTTCGGTTCACGACTGACTACCTGCAGGGGATTCTAATGGATATTTTGATTGGTCTATAAGTACTGACCAATGTCAAACCAAATTCTATCAGTGAACTTTGCAGTGTAGTCGCCAAACTAGCTGCCTGGCCACTATAGTGTAGATTTTAGCAGTAGACCTCTAATATTTGACAGTCAGTGAATAAAACGTTGGGGTCGGTCGTGTAAAATCACGAATTTGCAGAAGTTAGAACTCATGAACTGGCCAATGAACTGGGTCCCAGTGACTGAATGGTATACGAGCTTGCCTTGTAACCGGAAGGTTCTGGGTTGGAACCCTGGAGGTGGGGGCGTACTGCCGACAATTCTCAAACTAAGATGAAACAACAGCTGTGCAGTACTCCCTGGTTTTCAACGGTTCTCTAGCTGTGATATAATAATAATAACAGCTTTATTCCAAACAGTATTTGTGGTACAGGTATGGAATTTTCAGCGTGCACTACAATATATTGCATCTAATTACCTAACAAATTTTATAAGATTTTAAAATCAAAAAGCAACGCCAAAAAATAGATAAATAAAAAAGTAAAAACAACAGCGTTGCGTTTACATTTCAAACAATGCACCACAGGATATGAAATATAAAATTGGTGTGTAGTAGAAGATGAGAACAACAGTGTAATAGTAACGAGGAAAGGAAAACAAAAACTAATGGGACTATTTGTTAGAGTGCCGCAGTAAGTTGATCGTGTCATACCTAACTGACTTCTCATCAAATAACAGCTGTGCCAAATATGGTATTGTGGAGTTTTTGTACTTGGTAGTCCTAGTATATAGCCTCCCATAGCTACTTCTAGTTCTACCAGATGAAATGCCAGGAAACAGCTGCGTATAGAGAGGATGTTCGGGGTCTGACAATATTGTATTCGCTAGTTTCTTACATGACATAATATGTCTATCTACAATAGTGTTCACCAGTTGGTTTAACGATATCTCACTTGCCCTACTAACAGCTTTTAGTGCCCTTCTCAGCAAAGCAAAATCATTCTTAAGTAGTCCAGGAAAGATTAATGGGGAACAGTAAAAGGGGGATGGGTAGAATACAAGAATTGATAAACTGAGAAAGCAAAGACTACTTTATACCAGACTGCCTTAACTTCCTAACGTAGAACGTTAACCGAAACATCTTTCTATCAATCCGTTGTGGTGAGAGCAGGCTGCTAGCCGATTGGTTGGCACTAATCTACGTTAAGGTCTAGGTCACTAATATGGGCCGTGAGAAAATATGAACAAGCCTGAGTCAACAACCAATCACAGCAAAGTTAACGTGGCAGAATATGATTCGCAGAGAGAACTCTATTTGTCAAGGAATCCCGAAACAACCAATCAGAAGCCTGCGTTTGTCTACCTAAACAACCAATCAGATGACTGCGCTTGTCTATAATAATGTAGTTGAAAGATGTATAAATACGTGTTGATTTTCATAATAAAACGATCTGTTGCCTGGCCCTTGTCTTCTGTTGTTACACCGTGATCAACTCGTAAAAACAAAACTAACCCCTACAAACCAAACTATAGAAAACGTTAATCATATTTGCACAAAAGATAGTTCAAAGCATTCAAATTTATTTGTTTGATTTAATATCAATAAAAACTGTTGTAATCATTATCAGAAAGTAGACTGTCCAAGAATGCATTAAAAAGACATTATTATTATTATTATTATTTACAATCATCTGCCTAATATTACCGCTTGTTGATAAGAAACAGTTATGTCTAATGGTTATGTAGGTATTTAATTTAGAAAATAACATGATACTTTTATTCAGTAAACAAAGAAACCTGACATAAATATTTTTGTCTTTATTATCATATAACTCGTTGACTGACTGATTTTATGTTCATTATCCTATTCATTACACTTTATTGATGTCAATATATATTAAAAAACTGAAATTATGCTTTGTTTAATGTTTTGGATTTTAAGACTGAAAAAAATAATTCACAATTTATGTGTGAACACAACTTTGCATTAGTTGACTAGCCTGCTAGTTATCTAACCGGTCCTAAATCCAGGTAAAGAGGGAGGGTTGGGTGTTGGGCTAACGGACCTACACCGCAAAACTTCAACGCATAAAAAAAAATATTAGAAATACACAATCTTCTAATAATAACAATCTTATTTTTCGCTGGAATCGGAGAGGCGAAATAACACACAGTGGGCTGGTGAAAACCTTCGGGAAGCCAGTCAGTCAGCCAGCCAATGTATCTTCTATCGATGAAAACAAGTAACAATAAGAATGGGGACGTGGAATGTCTGTACAGTGTACGAGACTGGCTGAGAAGGCTACCCAGGTAGCCACAGTAATGAGAAGATATGATGGATTTATCAAAACTGTCAACTGTTCAGTCAGTAATCTACTTCGGTCATCCAGACGGCAACCAAGAGCACGCTGAGGGAGTGAATACAGGAGTAAACTATGGCCGTCTATTACTACAAACGATATTCTTAATTGTGGTGGACTGGATTATGCGTCAGACTGTGGGGAGTGATGAGACAGGAATTCAGGTGAAAATAGAGAAAAGGGATGTGATGAAGATAACCAACGAACCACCATCAACAACAACCAGCACCAATCACTATCAACGAGAGACATTTAACCGAGGTTACCTCCTTCACCTATCTGGGAAGTATCGTTTCGGCTATAGACGGAATGGTTGAAGATTTCAAAGTTAGAATAGGGAAGGTAAGGTATGCCTTCATCAACCTGAAACCAGTATGGAAATATTCTGATGTTACTCAGTCAGCATAAAGAACAAGACTCGGATTTTCAACACCAATGTCAAGTCGATTCTTCTCTACGGGTCAGAAACTTGCACTGCGTGTTATGAAAAGGATTTCCAGCCATTGAGATTGATTTCAGGCCATATCACCGCTTGTTTCCAGCCATTGGTGTTTACCGTCCCGAAGACCGCAACCTCCCTACATGGCTTAAACTAACTGTTGTGGATTTCACTGACTGATGAAGCCATGTTTTGGTTTGACCACCACTGGCTCTTTTCCAACGCGATCCATCCAGCGTCAGTTAACATTGCCTGTCGACGAAGGCGATGTCTAGGCATTCGTAACACATGTCCTAACCATCTCAGTCGATGTAGCTTCTCAGCCTCGTTGATTGATTTCCCCTCCTTACCAAACACTCGATGCCTAATCTCAATATTGCTCACCCTATTATACCTATGAACAAAGGCAGTTAGCCTTTTCGTATCCTGCAGTTTCAATGTCCATGTCTCACATCCCTAAAGCAGGATGGAGTGTACTGCTGAGCAGTACACATGTCTTTTGGCCGATAGCCAACCGGATATCACGTTTACACCAGAGACGGCGTAAACAGGCATATGCGAAAATAGCCTTCTGTATCTGTGCTGAGATTTCGTCAGCAATCAACCCTCTGGTGCTGACTGATGCAACTTTCCAATTAAGTGAAGTGGTCAACACGCTCCACCAACCACTTAACTCTAAGCTAGGAGTCAATGTAGTCTAGTCCTGTAGCATCATCCTACATTTGGCAGGAACGAACATTCGCATACTGCTACTGCTGAAGGTGTTCAAAAGACTCTGCATTTTGTCAGCGTCTTTACCTAGGAGGGAGGACTATATCACCTGCATATTCTAACTTCCCAAAGGAAAGCATATTGAAATGTGTATTTGCCAATGACCCTATGATAAATATAGCGGTACATGGATCAAAAGATGACATCTGTCTACAAATATAACCTACTTTTCACCCAATATACTTAATCGGATCTCAATATGTTATTCATTTGTTTTTATTTTAAACTTTACTCAGCTGAACCAGATTCACTGTATCGAACTAAATTTATAAGGAATCCAGTTGAGTTATCTGCTAAGGCAAGTAGATGGTTTCTGTTTTCCTCCTATGTATATAAATCTTACCAATGGATACTTTTTCACTTTAGGCATTAAACGAATTTTCACATTCGGTCGAGATAGTTGATCATTCCAATCCAGTGGTGGTAAGTCTTCTAGTTCTTCAGAAGAAGTTATCGGTTTTAAATATTCAGTTGAATGGGCATCAGCCTTAAAATGTGGTCTGAAATAAAATAAAGGAAAAAAATTAGTAAATATATTAATACAATAGCTGAAAATTATTCACTGTAAAAAGTTTAAGACAGAAGAAACATTTAGCAGCTATTTCAGATACTTTGTTTCTAATCTCTCTCTCTCTCTCTAACATCATAATTAACTTAGGGTATTCGACGCTTTTTTTCCCGTCACGTTCCACAGTGGAACATAGGTTGGCTTCAAGCTAGTGGCTTGAAGTTTCTGTAGCAGTGTTTATTCTACAGGATGGGGTTGCTAGCCTCATTTATTTTATTTTTTGATTACAGCTTGACTCCCCACCGTATTTTTGGTACAGGTATGAAATTTTTAGCATGGATATCGGTAGCCCAAATTTTGCAGGCTGACGATTGATATCAGGTGTGCGTCAGCAGGAGATCGAACCTCAGACTATGTGCATGGTTGGCGAGAGTCCTAACCACTGTACCACCGACGCACATGCCCAACCTTCCCTCTTTACCAGCATTACCTCTGGCCTAGCGACGTAAAGGAGTGCGTCGGTGAACGGGGATCGAACCCCGGATCATGTGCATGATCGGCGAGCATCCTAACACCTACGCCACCGACGCATCGGAAAACTGGGAGTGCTGGACAACTATTTCGTCGTAGTTTTGGGACTGTTCAGCTATATGCGCCTTTCGGGGTGTGAATCCATGACCTTCTAGTTACAAGGCGAGCTCGTAGACCATTGAGCTACTTGGATCTTAATTGACGCTAATACTCGTGAACTTTATCTATGCTTATTCCAACCGAATTTTTTAGGATACACTAAAATATAGCATTCTTGGTTAAGTTTGTTAGCAGTTTTCAGGTATTCACAAGCAAAAGTTGCAGGAATGTAATTGCGTTATATCTGAAATGAATCACAGTGCTTATTTGTATTTTACAGCTGCAGAGACAACGTTGAATTCTTGACCGATACAACTTTCAAATTTGATCAGGGATTGATATCAGTTAGAGAACCATTCAGAAACCAACAGGGATTAGTGAATAGCCGTTTGGTAGAAAGTTTATGACTGTTGAGTAGTATGCGTCAATGAACACTTTAGTGGTCGACGCATGACCCGCATGGTAGTAGGCGAGTTCCTTCACATCCAGCCTTTTGAAAGGGATCCAATGGCCGGCCGATTAATTCAGTATTGCGCACAGGGTTGGATGTAAATACATGTTAAGGGCAGTAGCTAGCCATGGAGCTAAAAATAGCTAACTGACAGAAATTAAAGAGGCTCGTTGACCATCCAGCCATTGGATCCCGTCTCCGTGGCTGAATGGTCAAACAGGTTACCTTATAACCTGAAGCTCCTGGGTTCTATCCTTCAAGAGGAAGCCATGGGTATGTACTGAGGAAGAGTCACAGACTAGGGAGAAACAGCTTTTTAGTACTCCCTGGTTTTCAGTGGTTCTTTAACTGTTAACAATCCGTGATCAAACTGGGAACCAAACAAATCCCTACAAACTAACAGTTAAAAATACAAATGTGTCATTATGACTGGTCACTTATAAGTGTTTGAGGCATATGCGAAAGTTTGTGGAGGCTCTAGCTGGAAGTCATAAAGTTTAAACTACCTTTATACCTTCAAAAACAATTCATCATCACACTAAAAAACCTTCCTTCGTAAACTTTGTTTTGATACCGTGGCAGATGTAGTATTATTTCTCTCATTTGGTTTAGTGATCTTCATTGCTATTTTGAATCTCACTGTATCCTTTTAACTTGGCGTAAATTTATTTTCCACCTCTTGACTCTTTATTATTTCGATATGTATTCCTATGACAAGTTCGTGTGTGTGTTCAGATTGTTAGAAATGTGTTGAGCAAATACATAACAGGTATCAAACAAATTACGTATTTATTCTCTGTCTACTCATAAGTAGTTTATTTAAAAATAACAAATTTGGGTGACGAATTAATTTGAGGCATTAAGATGAAGTCGTTTAGTTATGGCGAAAGGCGAAAAAATATTACTTATTTAATCCTTATTGTTACTCATCATTTAGTGAGGCACATCCAACAAAAAAACAATTTTCTATGACGTAATATAAAAATAAGAGAACAGAAGCTGTAAACACTTATGCGGATCTCACAATAAATAAAGAACAAGTTATCTGGAAAAGACCATGCAAGCATTTAATATAGATTGTTGTATTGAGTTTTTTTCGACAGTTGCTTGTTGTTTAAATGAAGGCAGACTGATATTATTCCCGATTACTTTCTATTGCGAGTGAAAGCAAATCTGATGGATGACCATCTTACACTTTGTAGAAAACATTTCTTGAATGGCAGTCAACTCTTCCACTGACTAGGTTAAAATGGTTAGAGCAGTCTAGTGTATAACACTTTGGAATTTGAAAAGATGTTTGCAAGTTTCGGGCCTCAATGGCAACATCATCTATCGCTAGAAGTGCAGGTTAATCCATTAGTTGACAAGTCACAAACAGGAAGAGATGTGCATTCTGGATTTCACTGCTTCTCACCATCTGTTTAAAAGGATATTGAGTTGTTTAAATAGTTGGATTAACTGATGAGAAGACTTTGTTGCTGATGAAAGAGATTTTAAGAGAACTTCAACACTCTTGTGATGTTTCAGGATTTCATCATGAGCTGACATTAGTTAGAGAACCATTGGAAAACCTGGGAGTACTAGACAGCTGTTTCGTCCTAGTTTGGTACTCTTCATCAGTACGCACCCACCGGGATTCGAACCCGGGACCTTCCGGTTACAAGGCGAGCTCGTATACCACTAAGCCACTCGGACCTGATCCAATGGTCCTTGAATTCTAACTCCTGCCAATTCACGACATAGCGCGACCGCTAGCCAATGTCTTCGGCGAGTATTTGTCCTCACACCCGACCCACTGCACCCTACTGGTCATGTGATGTATTTGAAAACTTGTAAATCGTATAATAGTGCTGATTGATTATTATAATTTCGAAGTGAAATAAATAAATGCTGAATATATGCATGTCATACACTTGTCAGTGACTGGATTTCACGTAAGCGATTTAAGAGGAGACGAATAAGTATCAAAGCTGTTATTGTTACTTTCGGGGGAGAAGAGTTATCTAAATGGATACGCGTATTTTGGGTTTCATCAACTTAAAACTGATTTTCATTCATTAACAAATGCAACTTGCAAGTAATATCAACATTATTCTATTCTCTTACAATAAGAAATGACAATTTCAAATGATCTCAGTTATTTCATAATGTTTCATGTTTGACTACTGACTGATATATCTGCTGCTCGTCAGTGATTGGCTACATGATGAAGTTGTCTGGAGTTTCAGTGGAAGTTCTGAGTGGGAAAAAAGGGTTTCAGCAACGCGTCTCTATTTCATCCTGTCCTCTGCAGCCATCTTCAGCTGGCTCTACGATTGCACATAAACTTTTGTCATATCGTCACATAATCTCATTTATGTCACCCTCAGAGTCACAAACAACTCGTCGTCTCACATTCAGGCTTCACTGGAAAGTCGACGTGGCGAACGATTTCACGCAAAGGTCTTTTCATCCCATGCTCAGTCCATCTCTTCATTTTCTTTGGCATGGTTGTTGAACAGCAGGTAATTTTTGGGTTTGCTAATCATCATTTCCAAATGGTCGTCTAATCTTCATTATGGAGTGAAGCCATCTGTTGACGAAATTCTAAAGCCCTATTGGGAATGCTCCGAGTCTCTGAAACATATAGAAAAACTGACTGTTTGGACACTAGTGTTAAAAATCCGAATCTTATTCCTTATGTCAAGTTCGGTAGGTTTCCAAACCGTTTTCCGGATGATGAATGTCTGTCTTGCTTTCTCTATCCAGTCCTGGCTAGCTTCAACGTCTTCATCTGCTCTGCCTATAGCTGAAACGATACCTCCTTCAAACTTCTCCTGTCGATGGTGTTTGCTGCTTCTCATTGTCGCTGATCGATTATCTTCATTACCTCTGTCTTCTCAGTGTTTACTTGAAGTCTTTTGTTCACCGCTTCTTCTGTCAATTTGTTGGTTCTCGCTTTTCGATATTCGAATTTGTGTGCCGTTAAAATTTTCCAACTTGTCAGTCCAACGTATCCCCGTCTTCTCTTTATCCTCCTATTGCATAACTTATTATTTACAATTTATGGTGCCTAGGAACATGTCGTATAAAGTGATTTAATGTAGACTTTGTAACAAATCTAAATTAAAACAATTAGTCCCTTTTATAAATTTGGATAGCGTCATTAGAATAGGGAGATTATCTGAAAAACGATGTGGCATGTATTTGCTCTATACATTTCGAACAATTTGATCCCTCACACATTTACTGGTCAAGTCGATATATATATATATATATATATTTATGAAAGAATTGAGGGCAATGAAATTAAACAAAGTGACAAAAAAAGGATCTAAGAATGATTAACACAGCGTTTGGTAATCCAATCAAATAAGAATTACCAAGGTAGGTTAAGAGTAATAATAAACTATTTTCGAATACACAAAGGGGGCTTAAGTTTATGAACAGCTATAGGCTAAGAATATTTCGAAAAGTACCCTTGACCGTTTTTATAGACGACCTTAAATGCTGAGTTTACATCAATCTTGTGGTTCATCTCGATTAGATGTTTAGCTATAGACGAAGTTGGTTGTCTGACACGTGCATCTATTGGTTTTTCACAGTTCATTTATTTTTCTAGCCATTTTGGGATATGCTCTCCTACCCTCACATGCGAACGCGATTACTCCTCCCAATGTTGTATGTGTGTCCACACACACACATGAAAATTAGTAAATGGTGTGGGATGCGACGCAATCACTTGTGCACTTTTGAGGTTTGCAGTGGAGCATATTTTTTCGACAATTACAAGCTGGGCTGCATAACAGGTTCTACGGATAATCGAATTCAACCTTTGTCTCAAAATCCTACCGTTTATTTCCCCGTTATATGGTAATTTGATGAGGACATTTTTCTTAGGGGCGGTATGGATTGTAGGTTTAGAGACTAACTGACTTATACACCTATATAAAAATTTTAAAGGATATCCATTTTCAACAAGTCTCCATCAATATTTCATTTTCTTTGTCTATAACATCGGCCTTGCAAATACATTGAATCCTCTTAAATAGACATTTCACCAAGCGTCTCTTGTACTGTAATGAACAGAAATTGTGAAAATTAAGGTATTACCCTGTCCAAGTGGACTTTCTGTAAACTGATCGTCTTATTGAACCATCATGTCTTCGACTCAGAATTATGCCAGCCGGTTGCGACTTTCTTCCTCGCATGTGAGACTAATATGATTCTGTACAGAGTTAAGTCTATCTAATAGACGACTTGCATCTTCATGATCGTCACATATCAAAATGATATCATCTACATAACTCCTATAGAAGGGCAATTTAGAAATTAAATAAAGGGACAAGTTCTCAACATAAGACATGTAAACGTCCGCTAATAAAGGTCCTAATGGACTCCCCATAGCAGCGCCATCCACTTGTCGAAAATGTTCACCTCCAAACGTGAAATGGACGTTGTCAGTACATAATAGTAATAAATCTTTCAAATAAGTTAAAGGAAAAGGAAATGAAAAACAACTAGAAGATATATTGTCACTTTGTTTAATTTCATTGCCCTCAATTCTTTCATAAATATATATATATATATATATATATATATCGACTTGACAGGTAAATGTGTGAGGGATCAGATTGTTCGAAATGTATAGAGCAAATACATGCCACATCGTTTTTCAGATAATCTCCCTCTTCTAATAATGCTATCCAAATCTAAATGAAAAACAGTTTTTTTTGTTCAACGAAGAAATTTCATTTCAACGACTTCATTTTCAAGCTGTACAGTCATATTTATGTTACAGAAAAAGGTTATTAAGTGGCACTAAATAATTTCTCTGTCAATATACACATATATATGTGATAAGAATAACGATTAATAAAATGTTATAAGGGGTAGAATTGAAGTGGATAAATTACAAAATTATTAAAGATTGTTTTATAAGTGAATTGACATTAAAAATGTTTTAAAAGTGTCAAGTGTTGTCTAAAAATTTTGAAAAAAATTAGGATTACGATTATGATAAGAATAAAGATGTGAAGTGAAGTGGAAAATATTCAAGCGGTAAAATAAAATAAAAACTAGAAAGAACATTACTATGACCAAGGTAAAGAAAGGGGTTTGACAAAACGTTTCTGAACACACAATTTAGATTTCTGTTCATGTATAGTTAAAGCTTCGGCTATGCATAAGTGAAGAAAACGTAAACTTTTGTATCGAGTAGATTTTGCCATGTAGATAACTTTGAAAGATGAATCACGTGGGGCTAAATGACCAGACTCTAAGAGGTGATCACAAATAGACGACTTCGCAGTTCTACGTTCGCCTTTCATTAACCAAACCAGATAGTGTTCAGCTACACGTTTTCGGAGATTACGCTTACAACGTCCAATATAAACAGCTCCACAAGAGCAGGTAAAAGATTAAATGCACATAGATGTGGACAAAAGCGGTAATCTATCCTTGACTCATTGTCTAATCATATTTCGGCTGGTAAAAACTAGTTGCAAGTCAGCTGCAGGAAAAGTGCGTTTAATACATTTAGATAAACGATTTTTAATCAATTCCAAAATGGTGTCACCTTTGAATGCTGGACTCATAAACAGTTTTTTCTTTGGCACTGTGATTTGTCGAGGGATGGATTCTTTCTTGATGTTACGTTCAATAAACCTTGTAGGATAACCCTTGTCAAGGAGACTTGACCGAAGGTTATCTAGTTCACTATCAATTGTCTCTGCAGAGCAGATTTTACTAATTCTGTAGCATAAGGAATGAATAAGATTTCTCTTTCTCCATAAAGGTACCCAACCGTTGAAGTTAGTGTACTGCCCAGTGAATGTTGGCTTTCCGTAAATCGACCTTAACAATGTCCCATTCTCTCTTCTATCTAGCTTAACATCAAGGAAGTGAAACGAGGAATTCGACTTTTCCTCGACCGTGAAAAGCAAAGATGGGTGAGAACCATTAGATATTCCCAGAAGTTCGGCAGTTGAAGAGTTTTCATCACATGCAATAAAAGTGTCGTCAATATATCTTTTATAAATAAACAAACTATCGATGGTTTCCTTTAGTGGGCCATTCTTTAAGCTTGCCATGAAGACGTTCGTTAAGAGCGGTCCTAAAGGAGAATTCATGACGACTCCATCCCTTTGATTGTAGATGACATCATTAAATCTAAGTTGCACATTCAGTGTGCATCTCAATAATAGTTGTTCAAGATATTCAGATATTTTAAATTAGTCAGCAATGAAATATTTCCCCATTCAATTTTAAGACTCTTCTCACTGCTCTTATTGAAACTAGTCAAAACTTGTCAAATTCAGATTTAACTACATTGTACTTTTGTTCTGTGTATATTATACCGACCTGAAATCATTGAAACACCAGGAATAATTTATTCAGTTATATATTTTTTTGTGTACTTTTTATACATTTATTGCTATAGACTGCTTACCTTTTGGTTTCACCATCTTCCAAAGCAGATGCATAATGTATAATCTCTAGAAATATTCGTTGACCACGTTGTCGAGCATATTCATCTAAAGGATCTTCAGTTCCTTCAGGATCAATTTTTTGTGCAAAAATATCTTTCAGAAAAAAAGACGAAAAAAAGGACAGACTTTTATGAGAAAGTTTGACAATAATGAATACTAATCAGCTGCTGTACGTAAACATAAGTGGATCCCGCCAATAACTATCACTACATCTAAAATTAGGAATGGTGCAAATGAGCTAGTCAAGCTATAAATACAACATTTGATTTGTAACAATTAATATTCATGCCTTCCTTTCTTAGTGGAACATAGGACTTCAGGAGTTTATCTCCATTTCATCTTCATTGCCAGGATTGGGTCCCTTTGAGAAGAAAGAGAAATCTGATCCACTCCTTATACTCAAGAATAAAGAGGATATATTCCAGTGATGCAATTGATAGGGAACTGGGGCGACTCAGACAAGTCCTCATAGAAAATGGATATCTTCCAAGATTTATCGAGAAAAACGTGAAGTTAAGGGAAAAGCCTTAAAAGAATCCAGACGGTGCCGAAGAAACTGCTCTTTATAAGTGTTGAATTTAAAAGTGATACCACAGCTAAGATCCTGAAGAATCGCTTATGCAAAGCAGTGAGGAAAGCCTTCTTTATGGCTGAGCTACGTATCAATTTCTCTAGCCGACAATTGTTCAACGGATGTGTGAAGGATAAACTGCCGCTTTGGGCCACCTCAATGTGTGTGGAGCTAGTCATATTGGCCGAACAAAGCGCACGCTTTCCAAACGCATCTCTGAACATTATCCGGCATGGTTAGCAAAGGGACAATGTAAGACAATGACTCGCTCAATTCTCGAGCATTTGGTGAACTCAGGCCACGTAGCTCCACCAGAATCGTCTTTCAGCATCATTTACAAGGTGAAGCCAAACTGCACAAAGGGCGTTAGGTTTCGGATTTTGTGTATGGTGAAGGTGCTGGCAGTTGGTCAATACAATCCTGAACTCTGTATACAGGAACAGTTTGTTCAGTCTCTTATTCTACCTTGGTCTTAACCTCTTTACTAGTCGTTCCCTGTAAAAAACATTTTGAATTTTTATTCTTAAATTTTCAGTTTGATTTTGCTTTAATAATGAATTTTACTATTATCACTCTCATATACTCCTTTTGTATATTTTCACACCCTCTTCACACTTGTTAAATTGACACTCAACTACCACCTTTATTCTCTCTCAACAACAAGTGTAACCTTATCAAATTTCTATCTTTGTGCCGTTGAGGAGTACCACGTAATTTACAACTTTTAACTTTCACTTTTAAAGCCACTTCTGAGTAATTATATCAGTTATGTCACCCACCCCCTATTACTGAATAATAGACCAATATATAAATTCTGGTAAGTATAAATAACCTCGCCAGATTACTAGCTTGCTAGGCTACTAGCTTTCTAGTTTTCTAGCCGGTCCCAAGCCCGGGTAAAGAGGGAAGGTTGGGGCGTGGTGCTAGCAACTCCACCCCTGTAAAACAACCAAATCGCTACAGAAACTTCAACGAATAAATATATTAAAAATTCTAAAAACATAAGCAATAGCCTTACTTTTCGCTGGAATCGGGGAAGTGAAATGACGCAGGCTGGTGAAAGCCTTCGGGAAGCCAGTCAGCCGATGTGCCTTCTTTCGATGAAAGCAAAAGTAAGGATGGGTACCTGGAATGTTCGTACAATGTACGAAACTGGAAAGGCTGCCCAGATAGCCGCTGAAATGAGAAGGTACAGAATAGAAGTGTTGGGAATCTGCGAGAGCAGATGGAACGGAACTGGAAGGTGCCAACTACCTACTGGAGAGACAGTAATCTTTCCGGCCACCCAGAGGACAACCATGAGCACACCGAGGGAGTGGCCATCATGATGTCACCAACAGCAGCCAAAGCTCTCATGCAGTGGGAACCAATCTCCTCCAGGATAATGACAGCCAGGTTCAACTCAAAAGGAAGGAAAGTTACAGTCATTCAATGCTATGCGCCTACAAACGTCTCAGAACAAGAGAAGAAGGAGGCGTTCTACAGACAACTACAAGCAATAATGGACAACGTCCCAAATGGCGATATCAAAATCCTGATGGGCGACATGAATGCGAAGCTGGGAGGAGACAACACAGGAAGAGAACTCACCATGGGTCGTGAGGCCCTCGGCGAAATGAACGACAATGGTGAACTCTTCTCAGACTTCTGCGCCTTCAATGATTTGGTGATTGGTGGTAGTGTGTTCAAACACAAGGATATACACAAGACGACATGGATTTCACCAGATGGAAACACCAAGAACCAAATAGACTTCATCTCAATTTCAAGAAAGTGGAGACGGAGCCTACTGGACACAAGGTCAAGGAGAGGAGCAGATGTGGGTTCAGACCACTATCTAGTAGAAGGGACTTTCAAGGTGAAACTAAAAGCCTCGAGGATAGCTGGGGATAGGCCACAATGCAAGTTCAACACTCAATTACTGAAGGACACAACCACAAAAGACACTTTCACTGCAACTGTCAGAGCAAAGCAGGAAACACTACGCGACATCACTGAAGAATCATGCGTGGAAGAACATTGGAAGTCTCTGAAGGCGATTCTCAACGAAACGTGTTCAACGGTTCTAGGAAGAAAGAAGAGACAAGACAAGGAATGGCTCTCAACGGACACTTGGAAATTAATAGAAGAGAGGAGAATGGTGAAAGAGAAAATGATTCAATGCAAGGACGGACAGGAGAAGGAGACGATGAGCTCAACTTACAAAGCACTGGACAAAGAAGTGAAGAAGAGTGCTAGGAAGGACAAAAGACGATTCTACGACAACCTCGCCACTGAAGCTGAGAAGGCAGCAGGCAAAAGGGACCTGAGGACACTATATCAGATAACCAAATCTCTATCCGGGAAGAGATCAACACAAGCGAAACCTATAAAAGACAGCCAAGGGAACCCAATTACCAAGGAAGAAAAACAGATTAAACAATGGGCGGATCACTTCAAAGGACTCTTGAACCGACCATCACCTGCAACCCGTCCAGAAATACCAACAACAGCGCGCACACAACTGCAAGTTGACACCAATCCTCCAACGAGAGCTGAAGTCTTGAACGCAATCAAGCTTCTGAAAGCTGGAAAAGCAGCCGGACCAGATGGAATACCCCCTGAAGCACTGAAAGCGGACCCAGAGACTACAGCAGACATGCTGACTCCATTATTGCAAAAGGTCTGGAAGGAGGGAAAGGTGCCTACTGACTGGAGGAAAGGTTACCTCGTGAAACTACCAAAGAAGGGCGACTTAGGCCTCACTCTGCAAGAACTGGCGAGGAATCATGCTCCTATCGACGCCAAGTAAAATCCTGAGTCGCATCATCCTGGAGAGATTAAAGGACGCACTGGAGACAGAACTCCGACCAGAACAAGCTGGATTCAGGAAAGGCAAATCATGTACTGACCAAATTGCAACTCTACGCATCATCATCACAGAACAAAGCATGGAATGGCAATCAAACCTCTACCTCAACTTTATAGACTTTGAGAAGGCCTTCGACAGCGTTGATCGTGAAGTAATTTGGAAATTACTCGAGTACTATGGCGTACCCCAAATATTCATCAACCTTATTCAACAGCTGTACGACAACGGCACATGTCAAGTGATCCACAACGGAAAACTCAGCGAGGCGTTTGGAGTAAACACAGGAGTCAGACAAGGGTGCTTATTATCACCAATGATATTCCTAATTGTGGTGGACTGACTGGATTATGCGTCAGACAGTGGGAAACGAGAAGACAGGAATATCCTGGACCGACGTGAAGAACCTAGAAGACCTGGATTTCGCGTGTGGATGATTTATGTTTGATGTCACACAAAATCGAAGACTTACAAGCGAAAACCGACAAACTGGTCGAAGAAGCAGCCGGCGAAGACAGGACTCCAGGTGAACATAGACAAGACGGAGGTTATGAAAATAACCAACCAACAACAACAACAGCAACATCCAACGTCAATCACCATCAACGGGAGGGATTTGAAAGAGGTTACTTCATTCACACTTATCTAGGGAGCATTGTCTCAACTACAGGAAGTCGGAACGGACGAGGATGTCAAATCGAGCGAGAATCGGGAAGGCGAGAAACACATTCATCAACAACTGAAACCAATCTGGAAATCTTCGTCACTCAGCATCAACAACAAAATTCGGGATTTTCAATACAAACGTCAAATCAGTCAGTTCTTCAATACTAGGAATGCGGTAAATAACTGAGAATGTCTGGTCAAGTTTTATCGGGTGTCCAGTATCTACCACGTGGGCTAAGACTGCACTATTAACGTATTTGGTTACGCCTTTACTCAACCATACAGGTAATTCACTATATTCATTATTATTATTATTTGACAATCATTTACCAACAGCATCTGTAATTTTGCACCATATCTTCGTTATTATTTTACAATCATTCATATTGTTGTTATTTTCAACCGTGAACTTGTGTCTAGACTGCCCCATTCGTTGGTTTATTTTCATATTGTCTCACACCCCCTTAATACACTCACTCTCGAAACCCGTATTTTCTGTTAACTATATTTATATGGATACAAACACATCATTAAATTAAATTACTTCATCTCATATTGTCCCATGTTCTCATTGACCATGCATATTGCAAAACTAACTGACTAACTATTGTTCCATCTCATCTTACTTACACTTGTTCCACAATACACTTTCTGATATGATTCTAATTTGCCTTTACTTGTTGGCTATTGTATGCTTAAATTAATGGATTTATAATTGCAGAGCCTAAGGAAGAAGAATTTATTGAAACCACAATTATTCGCTATAAATATCTTGTTCTGAATAAATTATGGGAATATTCAATTTACAAAAATATTTTAATTGGATTCCCTACTACTATTATTATTGCGTTTGTATTCACACCTTTGATTCCATTCCCTCACCGGATATAATCTCTGAAATAAACTAAAAATATACAATTCTACAGCTTGATAATAAATTTGTTGTTGAAAAGAGTTTCTTCTCTGAATCACTTATTTTCTAAGTGTTCCAATCAATAAATAAGGCTATATATAGAAGTCTGGTTAATCACCTGACAGTTTAATCAACAGCAGCTTCATGCTTTTTTATTTCACCTTTGTTAAATAGTATTTTTTTATTCCATCACGTTCCCAGTGGAACATAGGACCTCAAGCTAGTGGCTTGAAGTCTCTTTAGCAGTGTTTATTTCTACAGGATGGGTTGCTAGCCTCTCATGCCCAACCTTTCCTCTTTACTAGCCTTTTATTTCTGGCTTAGTGAGGTAAAGGAGTGTATCAATGGCCGGGGATTGAACCCCGGACCATGTACCTGGTCGGCGAGCGTCATAACCGCTGTACCACCGGCGCACAAATAGTATGTCATATGAATTATATATTATATATATATACATCTGCAGCACTTTCTGTTGTTACAGGATTTCATCATGAGCTGACATTAGTTAGAAAACCATTGGAAAATCTGTTGTTATTAATGGATTCATTAAAAAGGAGAAATTACATACCAGGAAATCTGGACATAAATTTTGTTATACATCTTGTATCTTCTTTTCTTGGTAACCCACCAATCCATTCCACCGGTAAATGCATAATTTTCTGTATATCATTCTCTTTCAATCAGAAAGAAAACATAATAAATAGAGAAAATAATATTTAAAATAGTTAGTAAAGGATAAAACAAAAATATTTAAACATGACCATTTCACTTTATCTATATCTGCTTTTCTATAGGGCATAAATTTCTTCCTATATACTCAGAAAGCCAGATAGAAGCTTTGCTTTCTCTCTTCCCAGTATGGCAGCCAATAACATGATAACCACATTATAAACTTGACTGTTAGAATTTAGTCGGCATCAACCGAAGGAACAAACTCACTGGTTACTAAGCAGTGATTGCTAAAAGTATCCTTACAATCTCCTACAAGAGATCTTTAGCGAGCCTGAAGAGTTCAATGGTAACATCTTTGATAGCGGCACTAGCTAAAGCGGGTTAGAGTCTCAGGAGGAATATGAGTTCCTTCAAGATTGCGGATATGCGTTGCTAACTAGTAGGTTCCAACAGGCGATAAACCTAGGTCAAAGGCATTCTCCCGATTACCTCCTGACGTCTAATAACCTCCAACTATGTTTATAAGTTTAAATGCATTGTGGGAGTAAGTATACAGGAAAGACAAAAAGCGAAGGTATTCTATCAGGTTTTCTGAGTATATTGTCCTTGATTGGGAACCGAATATGAAACGACAAGTTGAACCTGGGCTCGAGTATAACACAGAGGAGATAATGTCTGGAGGAAATGAAGGCTTATAGACAATTGTGCAGCCAGCTAAAACAGACTGCAGAAAACAGAGTTAAATGGCAATGTGCTTCTGAAGCTATATGTCCCACTCGGAATCCAAGGGAATAATAATGATGATAATAACTGTGCTGAAAACTTCTATCGATTATTTTAATGGTAAGCGTCAATGTCTTATTTGAGAATGTTTTATAACTCGATGAACATAGACACACTCCTTTACTTAATTTTTTTTATATACTTGTGATTCAGCATTTCAACTTTCTATCTTGTCGCCCAAGTGGTCTAGTGGATAACGCTATGGCGTTTGAAACTATGGCCACTGGGTTCAAGTCTTGGTGAGAGTATCATCAGCTAACGAGCCCTAAATAGGACAAAATGCGCATGATGCGTTGGTGGCACAGCAGCTAGGATGCTCGTCGACGCACTCATTTACCTCACTAAGCCAGAAATAAAAAGCTGGTAAGGAGGAAAGCTTGGGCATGAGACTGGCGACCCCATCCTGTAAAAATTAAACACTGCTACAGAAACTTCAAACTTGTGGCTTGAAGCCCTGCGTTTCACTGTGAACTTGAAGGAATAAAATAATAATGAATAATCTGTTCCAACGCATTAACCATTTTATTTGTATTTCATTAGTGAAATAAAAATGATGGTTAGTCAGAGAAAAATTCTGACTAAATTGTAGAAAATAATCGAAAAGAAACCTTCAGAAGTGTTCATGTTGTCAACTAGTCAAACCTTTTGAACAGAATTATGAATTAGATTCAAATGAAAGGTGAATCAATAAGTCAGTGATATTTCTTAAAAGGCAACTAACCTGTAAAACACTCAGAAGATGGTAGAATAGCATGTGTTGATAAAATATAGTGGATTGCAGCGTATTTAGCTGAAATATAATTAGAAAAAAATTGAAAATATTAGATAGGAAAGCACTAATGATTGATAAATTAAGTATATTTTTCGTCATATTTGATGGCGGTTTTAGAAATAACGGTATCCTTGACTCATATAAAATCTGAGAAAGTATTTTAAAAACTTTTCCTTCAACTTACATACGCCTGTTTGAAGATTAATTTTCCTAATTCATTAGTTATCTCATTATCATAATTGAGATACATGCGTCCATAGTTGAGTGATTCAATGCTTACCAACTACAAAGTGAAGTCAAATGACACAAAGAGTGTCAGGTTTCGACTTTTGTGTATGGTGAAGATGCTGGCAGTTGGTCAATACAATCCTGAACTCGTATACAGGAACAGTTTGTTCAGTCTCTTATTCTACCTTGGTCTTAACCTCTTTACTAGTCGTTCCCTGTAAAAAAACATTTTGAATTTTTATTCTTAAATTTTCAGTTTGATTTTGCTTTAATAATTAATTCACTATTATCAATCTCATATGCTCCTTCTGTACATTTTCACACCCTCTTCAACTTGTTAAATTGACACTCAACTACCACCTTTATTCTCTCTCAACAACAAGTGTAACCTTATCAAATTTCTATCTTTGTGCCGTTGAGGAGTACCACGTAATTTACAACTTTTAACTTTCACTTTTAAATCCACTTCTGAGTAATTATATCAGTTATGTCACCCACCCCCTATTACTCAATAATAGACCACTATATAGTTTCTGGTAAGTATAAATACGACTGTACAGCCTCTGAAGATGATTTCGTCGTTATAGAAAATTTTCTTCGCTGAATTTGTCTTTTATTATCTTCATTGATTAATGCTTTTTGTAACATTATTTAAGTCATAATCCAGCTTTAACGTATGATGTAACGAAAATCTCTTTTTTTTAAACACCTGTTGAATTGAATCTTATTATTTGCCTCCAGGACGGTTATCCTGTACTGGTTATATTTTGAATTGTGTTCATTTTTTAACTCAATTGTCTAGGTTTTGTTTAATTTAAGTGTACAACTGACCATGAATATCTTTGTAAGAGACATCTGAAGTGTTCTGTAAACACTTTTAAACTTCTTTAAAGTTTTAATAATCATAAGAAATTGAAAAAAATATTTGTGAATTGTCTAGTTTTTAGTAGCTTACAAACGTCTGCTTGTCGACTAATTGGACAAAGGTTGCATTAAAAAGAAGTATTTTCATACCAGTCTTTCATAAATATTCATTCAATTGAAAAAAAAGCTGATTTCACCGAAATATATTGGAGGGTAGATGAATACTGTAAATCTACAATGTAAATATATTCATTCAAGTTTCCATGCCTTTGCGTGCACCAGTAACGCCGTAGTGTTGAAATCAATAGTAAATAGAAAGAAGATTAGGCTTAAACATGATGAATTTCAGTCCGTGTCAAAAAGTATCCCAAAGATGGAGTATATATATATATATACATTAACATATTTAGTAGTTAAATTGCCATCTTCTGTCTATCCAACTCATCCTACCAATAAAACTCAACGTTGATATGGTGGCATAGATTTTAAACTGGCTACTGTTTATCTTTCCTATAAAATTAAGTTTATTCATCATATAATGTTTCCTGATGAAGAAAAGAATGTAATTCAGTAGCATACCACTTACGCTGAAAAAGAAACTCTACATGAACTTGGATTTCAAGGGAGAGTTAGCAAGTGATACTGTCACATCACCTCTGAGAAGAACATTCTTTTCAGCAACGCTAAGAATAGTGTTCTCCAGTCGCCTACTGATCTACAGAAGCTTTAAGGACAAGATCCCGCATCTGACCACTTCTATCTGCATATATCAGTTCACTAGCTGCTGTGGAGCCAGCCAGGTGCTTCAGTCGTTCAACGCGCATCCTGTCCAAGAGGATTCAAGAACACTATCCAGCATGGTTGGAAAAAGGCAGTAGTGGTGCTATTAGGAGCGCGATAATTGAACACCTGGTTAATACTGATCATTCCATCTCAACAAACGACTCCTCCTTCAAAGTAATCTACAGAGTCAAGAATAACTTACCAAAGGCAATACAGTGTCATCTTCTTTGTATCGCTGAAGCTCTGACCATTCACAGAGAAAAACCGGAGCTGTGCATACAAAAGAGAATTACTCAACCACTTCTTTTATAACTGTAACAACTCCGTTGGTTTTTGATTGCTTAATTTTGTTTGTTTGCCTGTTTCTTTAATTGCTTATAATTCTCGTATTCATTTAGAACTCTTACGTAATTTCGTACTCTCCACTTTGTTCCTATGTCCATTCTAAGTACAACTTAGTTATCAAACTCTTCATATTATTACGTAACTCTTTTGTAGCAACTGTTTGGGAGAACTCATCATCTTTGTTACTACCCTAGTTTCATTAACACTCAATTGTCTTGACAGTTTTTGTACTACGTAACTCTAACCAAAACTTACCGATTTTCACCTGTTTAGTTAAAATAACCATAACCGATTGCATTTTTTTTGACAAACTTAATGTATACATGCATACAAAATAACTCATATATATTTGCGATTGTACAGCTAGGAAAATGAATCCGCCGAAAAGACTCTTCACTGAACTACATGTTTTGTTTTCATTAAAACTATTTTCATCCATACCTGAAACTATAAGGTAAAGCATTACTTTTTTATTTTTTTTTCTTATTTTTGATTTACAGCTTGATTCCACACCGTATTTTTGGTACAAGTATGGAATTTTCAGCATGGAAATCGGTAGCCCAAATTTTGCAGGCCTACCATAGATATCAGGTGTGCGCCGGTGTGGGCTCGAACCCCGGACCATGTGCATGGTTGGCGAGAGTCCTAACCACTGTGCCACCGACGCACATTACATTGGGCAATATCATGGAAAATCTAATCATAAAACACCTTTATGTTGTTTCATGTCTTTTCTCCTTAAAGATTGTTTGACAATCAAGAAGAAATAAAATATAATGCGTAACTACAAATCACACTCAAGTTTATATGTACTACTAGGTTCTATTGAACATTTTGGTTCATAAAAATAGCAGTGTGAAAGTTATATTTGCATGGAAGATTTCATCATGAGCTGACATTAGTTGGAGAAGCGTACGAAAACCTGGAGTACTGGATAGCTGTTTCGTCCTAGTTTGGGACTCTTCATCAGTACGCACCCAACGGGGTTCGAACCTAGGACCTTCTGGTTACAAGGCCAGGTGGGTGCGTACTGATGAAGGTTCCCAAAAACTCTGACGAAACAGCTATCCAGTACTCCCAGGTTTTCCAGTGGTTCTCAAACTGATGTCAGCTCATGATGAAATCCTCCATGCAGTCAAACAAAATCCCTACGAAACCAATACCTGAAAGTTCTATTTGTAAAGAGTAATAGGTTTGTGTGCTACAGGACACTTTAAGGAAATAAATTTATTAAATTTAAATTTATTAAAACAAGCTAAAACTACTTTACTTTATACATGAGTTAAATTTAACAGTTACACAAAGTATTTACTCGCTCTTCTTGTGGTGGCATGCCAGCTCCTAAAACTCACAATTCGACAATATCTTAAGATGAACACGAAATTGTAAACACTAATGCTGACTATCACAGGCGAATTCAGAATGGTTACAGGATTTCATCATGGGCTGATATCAGTTAGAGAACCTGGGATTCGAACCCATGACTTTCTGGTTACAGAGCGAGCTCGTAGACCATTAAGCTACTGGGACCCGATCCAATGGCCCATGAATTCTAACCTCTATCAATTCACGACATAGCGCGACCCGATAGCCAATGTCTTTGGCGAGTATTTGTCCTTACACCTGACCTGGTGCACCCTACTGGTCACGACTTCACTCCCATGATGGGTGCGTACTGATGAAGAGTCCCAAACTAGAACGAAACAGCTATCCAGTACTCCAGGTTTTCCAATGGTTCTCTAACTAATTTTAGCTCATGATGAAATCCTGTAACCAATCAACTAAATCCCTACAAACCAACACTGGAATTCAGAATGCTTATTTCAACGTAACTGGAACTCGTCATCTGTGTGTACAACACGATAAACCAACGAGAAATGTAAAATTAACCTGATATTCAATGGAAAAGAAGTGAATCCAATGGCCTACTGAGTGATAATTTGGCATCTGAAATGATCGTTTTAGCGTTTGAACAGCAGGAGGAACACTTTCATCACTTATTGGAAAGTTAGATACATACATCTGATGACTCACAAATAGGATAAAATATACAACCTTGCTTCGACTGCTAGTGACGATCGGCTAAAGTGACTTGCAATCACAGTTTGCAACACTATCAGTTAGTTTTAAGAAATATCGGTAATTATTTCTCATTCTGAAATTAAATATCCATATCTACAAGAAATATATTTTCTGTGTGTTGAAGTTTCTCTAGTGGTTTGAAAGATTTAATGCATCCAATAAAGGACGCACTGGATATAGAACTCCCCCAGCATGGAACAAGCTGGATTCAAGAAAGGAAATTCTTGCGCTGATCAAATTGCAAATATAAGCATCATCATCACAGAACGAAGTATAGAATGGCAGTCGAATATCACTCTACCTCAACTTCACAGAATTTGAAAAGGCCTCCAACAGAGAGCGTTAACGGAAAAGTAATTTAGAAACTACTTCAACAGTATGGCGTGCACTGCCCAAATCTTTATGAAACTCATTCAAAAGCTATCTATATAGTGATTTCCCATGTAACGTGATCCACAACGGGGGACTCAATGAGGTGTTTGAAGTGGAGACAAGACTAATACAACCTGGCTACCTATTATCACCGATGATACTCTTAATTATGGTGGAGTGGATTATGTCTCAGACTGTTGAGTGCGAGGAATCAGGAATAAGCTGGAAGACGTGGATTTCGCCTCTGGATGATATATGTCTAATGTCACACAAACTCGGAGACTTGCAAGCGGAAACCAACAAACTGCTGAAGAGGCCGGCAGCGAAGACAGGACTGCAGGTGAACATAAAGGAGACGAAGGTGATGAAGATAGCCAACGAACCAACCAACAGCAACAACAACCAGCACCAATCACCATCAACAGGTGAGATTTAACAAGGGTTGCCTCCTTCACTTATCTGGGAAGTATCGTTTCAACTACAGGCAGTCGGAACGGACAAAGATGTCAAGGCCAGTCAGAATCGGAAGAGCAAGATCCGCATACGCCTTCATCAACCTGGAACCAGTTTGAGAATCTTCCGCACTCAGGATAAGGAACAAAATCCGCATTTTCAACACTGATGTCAAGTCGTTCGTCCTGTACAGGTCAGAAACTTTACCAGCGTTTCACGAAAAGAATTTCCAACATGTTACAGACTAACATCAACGGCTGCCTTCACTAGCTCCATACTGAAGACCAAATGCCTTTCCAGAAAGAATAAGTAACAGGAAACTATGGGAACAAACCAACAGGCGAGAGCCGATCGCTCAAAACTGTGTAGGAGTAAGCGGAGATGGATTGGGCATACACTGACGAGGCCGCCGAATGACTTCGCACTCCAGGCCAGCGCTCGAGTGGGATCCAAATGGTAAGCGACGAGTGAGTCGTCACTGCTAGGGTGACATGAAGGAGATCGTGTGAGGAAGAGGCGAGAGAGTTTAGTCAATCTTGGACCCAGCTGAAGAGAACGCCAGAAAACAGAACAAAGTGGAGATGTGTTGTTCAAGCCCTTGGAATGCATGGGAACAATAATAATAATCTACAAGAAAAATGAAGTCAAGAATAAGAGTGCGATAACATAGAAAATTTACTAAGAAGTGATGCACACGGGAGACCTGGTTAAAACTTAGGCTACCAAAAACTTCCATCTCTTTTTTTTGCATATATATTTTCTCCCTTTCGGTTTGTTTTAATCAATTAAGATATAACATCTATTGATATTATCTACACTCTTGTGTGTATTTAAAATGTTCACTAGTCTCTGATTCGCAAGTTCCTACTAAACTTTAGGAATGGACTGATTATGGTTGGCAACGTATCCCGACACATGAGATAACTGTTCTTCGGTTATTTCCTTGAGTCTCAAAATGTCTTTATGAACATCTTACAAATGGCTTGAAGAAGAAAATGAAGATATTATCATAATGGAATGGTTTGCACTTCAGCTTACAGAGACTATTGTATTACAGGATGTACTGTTAATTAATATTCTACTTGAAGATATTGTACAAAGGGAAAATATCACACAGTAAACCCCTCTGAAAATCCTTTACATTTAATAAATATTGTCCAGAATAAAGATGTAACTATCAAACATTTATTTTAACTAAATGATAACCATCCATGTTAATTAGCATTTGTATCAAATGAAACTAAATCAAACTACCTTTAGCAGGTAGTTACTATTGTGTTTGGATGAGAATAGTTTCACTTTAAGTGTACAGAGGTTATGAAAATAACCAACCAACCAACAACAACAGCAACATCCAGCGCCAATCACCATCAGCAGGAGGGATTTGAAAGAGGTTACTTCATTCACTTATCTAGGGTGCATTATCTCAACTACAGGAAGTCAGAACGGACGAGGATGTCAAATTGAGCGAGAATCGGGAAGGCGAGAAACACATTCACCAACCAACTGAAACAAATCTGTAAATCTTCGTCACTCAGCATCAACAACAAAATTCGGTTGAATTTTCAATACAAACATCAAGTCAGTCAGTTCTTCTATACGATTCATAAACTTGTCGGGCGGGTCACAAAGAATATTTCAAACAGCCTGTTGCAGACCTTTATCTACAATTGTCTTCGCTGTGTACTGAAGATCAGATGGTCGGACCGGAAAGAATCGCCAACAAGAAACTATGGGAACAAACAAACAAAACAAGAACCAATCGCCAACCAACAAATATGCAGGAAAAAGTGGAGTTGGATGGATTGGACACTCATTGAGGAGGCCGGTTGGTGACATCGCGCGCGTCAGGTCATTACTCGAGTGGAACCAGGCTGAAAGGGAAGCGGCGAGTGGGACGTCAGTGCGAGGGTGACATGGAGGAGATCGTGTGGAGAGGAGTTGAAAGAGTATGGACTAACATGGATGAAGGTGAAAAGTACAGCAGAAGACAGAAGCAAGTTGAGAGGTGCAGTTGAATCCCTATGTTCCACTAGGAACCCAAGGGAACAATAATAATGGTGTAGTGTACAGAAGATTTTTCGAGGCAATAGACTAAGTTCTCCACACAAATTTATCACTTGACACTTATTGCTAACACACTTTTAAATAGGATGATATTTCCAAAGTTTTAATGACTCCACTACTCATTATTCTATTCACTAAACAATAATGATTAAAATAATAATAACAGTAATAATAATGCTGATAGAACTGAACTTACCAACAGCATATTCTCTAACACTTTCAACAGGTCGAGTTGGCAACCACATAATAGATAGTAGATTGGTAAACATTTCATAATTGTTAATTAGTCTTTTGAATTTATCATCTTTGACTAACTGACACAATGATTTATCAGTTGTAGAAAATTTTAAATCCATCAAACGTTTACGCGGATGAGATAAACGAGTAACCTCTACAAAAGTTACATAATTAGACACTTTTGTTTTCATTGAACATTTTTAAAAATTCACAAGATAGAGAGAAATTTTATCACCAATCAGAAAAAAGCTAAATAACAACATTTATAACGCCGTTGATATTTTAGAAGGGTGATAAACTTAGTCCCAGGTTTGACTACGAACAGACATCAGTTAGAAAACTATTGGAAATCGAGGAGTATTAGACAGTTGTTCCACCCCATTTGGTGACTCTTCATCAGCGCGTACCCATGACCACCAGTGTATTACTGAAGATTCCCGAATAACATGAAACAAGTGCCCATGGTGGTGGTGAGCACTCCGTGGTGGTTTCCACTGGTCCTCTAACTTAAGTCAGTTCGTGATCATACTTGAAATCAACCTAAGAATTCTTTTTCTAAATGTGTTCGCCGTTGGACAAAGTACTCTGGGGGTTCCTACGAGATACAGGTACCAAGATGTGGCTAGTTTATACAGCTAATGTCAAATTAATTCTAAAGTGTTTTTCTAAGTGTTTAAAACAAAACAAGTGAATGATATTTTTAAGGCAGTTATTCCAGTTGAGTCATGCCATTTCTTAACCAACCAGTTGCATGAAAACAAACTGCTTAAATCCTCTCCTCCATGAGTATTAAGCCGCCTGACTGCTGCAGTCGAGACATGCATATTGGGCAAGTTCTTCGTCAAATTTCTTGTTCTAACGGAGAGGCGGGATACAAGTGCCAATTACTAGGTGGTGTGACGATGGAATATGCGGTCATAAACTTCACGCGTAGGCGGTTAATCTGGTTAACTTCTGATATTTTTCTAGGACTGTATAAAACATATTTATGTGCTTACCCTTCTTTCTCGTAGCAACCCACGAAAGACGGCATGTCAGACAGCAAAGAATTCTACATTGAAAGTAAACGTCTCTTGATCTATTTGCATGTATGACACCCTAGTGATAATATTTTCAGTGAGACCAGCTGATAAACATCATAAGCAAGTTCCAAATCACTCCAAAGCTTCTGATAATTGGTCCTATCTTGAAAACTTACAGTTAATAACTAATTTCGTTCAACTATTTCATCAGGGAATAATTATCATCTATGAATTCCATCAGTTATTTCTACACGCAAACTTTAGTAAAATTTGTGACCCTAGGACTTAGACTTGTAGCGGTAAATAATTCCCCAAAACTATTGACCACATCAATCCTCATCGGATGCTGACCATCACTGTTTAAGTCGACTTGTTTAGCTGAAGGCTCCCGGTCAAGCATCCCCGCCAATCGGTACTCCATCGTGTCACGTGCGGCACGATCACTAGCCAGCTAAGCGTTCGTTTAACAACTCGTTTTGGTCCTGAAGTGTATCGCGTAATTTGGACAATCAAATACTGTCTTTTGCTTTTGGTACGCGAGAATTAATAAGTTAGAAGTTGATGTATAAGAGATTGCGTCAATAAACTTTTGTACTGTTCGCGAACGTCTATACCGTCAACCTCTAAAGACTAAATTTGACTGGTTGAAATAACTTATTATATAACAACTTTATATTATTTGGTGAGGTAGTGTTTGCAATTTTTATCTTAGAACTAAAAGAAGAACTCAGTAATATTCATGATTTACCAAGAAGAAACGGATATCCAATGAAATTTCACAATAAACACCATAGATTTAAACACGTTCACAGTTCAGGTTGCATACAGCTTCGAAATAAAACGAGCAACCTTAAGAATCCAATTCACAGAAGATGCTAACAGTGAGATCACATCAAAACGTCTGAAAAGAGTCCATTTAAGGACTTTTATCTTACCCAGGTTATGACGTTTGTGAACCAACCGGCTAGTTAAACACAAACCTCCTAATTCTTTGTATCCATGAGTAATAAGCAGTTTAATTGCTGCAGTGGAGACATATATATTGGGCAAGCTCTATGTCAAATTTATCGTTCTAATGGAAAAGAAGGATATTAGAGTGAAGTACCCGGTGAAATGGCAGTGGCGGGTGTTGTCAATTAATTCGCGTGTAGACAATTAAGCTGAATAACTTCTGATATTTTTCTAGGAGAGTATTCACCTTATTTATTGGTGCAACTTGAAGTGCAGACTCTTTTATCGCAACCCACGAAGGATGGCGCATCATGGAGCAAAGAGTCAAGTGCACTCTCATTTCTGTCCTCTTGTGGTGATTGACAATTTCTATCTCTGTATTGTTTAAATATTTACCGTTGATTGTTAATATGTTTCTTATATGAATCGCATTATAATTCCGCTAAATACAAATTCCTGGATTCCGCCCTCTCTGTGTTTTGGTTGGATTCGTGTAATTCGGTCATCTCGAAATACTAATACTACGATTACAAATAATTACTACAAATCTGCGTCACGATGGAAAATTTCCTATAAATGGTTCACCGCGGGAGATTGCTGATTACCTTGAATGCTTTGATGCATGGTGCATTTCAAAGAACGTTCGGGATGACAAAATTCCAGCTCATTTCATTACTGCTATTGGGCTAGATGCATATAGCCTAGTAAAGACTCTGGCGTTTCCAGATAAACCCATTTCTCTGTCATATGTCAAGATTCGTGAACTTCTGATAAATCACTTTCATGTAACTACATTTGAGACCAGAGAGAGGGCTCAATTCCATAAAGTCGTTCGTGCTCCCAAGCAGAAGATAAGAGACTTTATTCTTCAACTCCGAATACAAGCTTCAAAGTGTAACTTTGGAGATCAGCTGCATACTCAACTACGTGATCGTCTAATTGCTGGAATCAATATTCCTAAGTTAGAGAAAGAGTTAATTCAGATTCCTTCTTGTACCTTTTAAACTGCTAAAGATTTATGTATTACATATGAAGATGTCAACAGTGAATACTCTGCTCCCACTACGTCAGTATCTGATGTCATGCTGTCCAAAGTCGAAAATACAAGTGGTCATGGAAAGCAATCCAAATTGTCGTCCACAGGTAATAGAATGCAGCCAGAGATCAAAAACATTAAGTCGTGTTTTTCCTGTGGAAAGTTACATCTACGAAGCACTTGCCGTTTTCAGGGTGCTAAGTGCCATAAATGTGGTAAAGTTGGACACATCAAGACTGTTTGCAGAAGTTCGAATACTTATGCTGCTCAACATTCTTATAATTCTCCCAAGCTGTCTAGTAAAATGGAGTCAATGTGTCTTACAATTTTTGAAAATACTCAAGCTAATCCAATGAAAACCCCCACTACAAGTTCAGCAACTCAAGCGTCAACTGTTTTCAAAAATGTGGTAGCCGAGTTACAATGCGAACTGTCGAAAACACGAAAAAAACTTAATGAGATAAGAGAGCAACTGATTAAAATGGAGGAATTGTTGCATCTGCATAGACTGCGTCTGTTTAATGCAGAACATACGAGTACCCGTGAAAGTCCTGCAAAACTTTTCAAATCTCGAATTCTCAGAAAGCATCTGATGTCCGCGACTTCTAATGTACATTATTATAAAGGGAATGACTATAGACCTTCTGTTGGAATCATACTACAAAAAATGGGAAATCAAGTGGTGAAGATATTAGACATCAAAGATCACTCAGTTCATAACAGACACCTGGACAAAGTGACAATAAATGAACTAGGTCGTTCCAATTATTATTTTAATGATTCCGCCACTAATCCTGATTTTGTGGGTAATTCAGAAATAAGTCCAGATAATACCGATGAAAATAATATCACAGAATCAGTTAGAAGGTCGCAGATACTTGCAAGCAAACCGAGACATCGTTATATATACGCAAATAGATATTCGAGGTGTGGTGAATGTGGTGATTGGCAATTTCTATCTCTGTATTGTTTAAATATTTACCGTTGATTGTTAATATGTTTCTTATATGAATCGCATTATAATTCCGCTAAATACAAATTCCTGGATTCCGCCCTCTCTGTGTTTTGGTTGGATTCGTGTAATTCGGTCATCTCGAAATACTAATACTACGATTACAAATAATTACAACACCTCTCTAGGTTCCCTATCCCTGGAACTCTTTACCAGCAGCTGTGGCTACCGGACTGTCCGTGGAAAGCTTTATGCAGAAGTTGAGTAATCATGCGGCAACAAAAGGAGTTTTTCCAAATAGGGTATTAACTTGAAAGCCACAAACCGCACTGTATTATTGGGCATAATTTACACTCATCCTTTATCTTTGCTCAGTCTCTCTTGGCTCACCCTTCTGACAACCTTACCCTTTGATTTACTTGCATTTACATTTTTAATTTCAATATCAATTTATTTGTTCGCTTTTGTTTTTAGGTGTATATAATCTCCACTGATTTCATTATAATCGTCATCTTTCTCAACCACACAGGACGACTAATTCATTTACAGCAGCATTGCTGACTCAACGCACAGCACGCTAAAAACTACAGTAAATCAATCTCTGCACTACTCCCCTTGGAACCAACCAGAACTATGGCAGTCTAGTGGCTGGACAAACTACGCAGAAATTCAACGAAAATTGAAAGACTCTTCCTTCCAGCCAAGAAAATAAGCAAAAAAGTCAATTTGGTATACACTGGCCCAAAGAAAGGATATTAACATCTTTTAAAAGATGTTAATTCAACTGAATTTCGGAAAGGATAGAAATAATTACCCTGGTGATTTTTATTCAATTTTCTCTTGCACGCCCGACAAATCCTGAAAGATCAGAAATAAAATGCTTTTACTTTTCATGGTAGAACTCTCTTATTGTTTCCATTAGGTGGGCGGTAACATAAAGACGATTTCCTTCTGTCTTCCACCATTGACTTGGTTTTTCGCAAATAGGTAGTAGTTTCGATGAAGGTTTTCGCTTACATCTTCGTACTAGTTGCTCAACTGAGTCAAAATTTCCAAGCTGCCGAACCTTGAAAAACAGTGAATGATACAATCATGATTGACCAACTGAATACTGTTTTATTTAAGTGAGAGTCATCCTTATCAGTGCACTTGTTGTAATCAACATAATGCAGCACAAACTTCGCTAGATTTAACAGATGTCGGACTTCTGGGTTATACTTTATATTATCCATCACCTTAACTGATAAATCAAAAGTTTTCAAAACACGATAACACACGGTGTAATTTAAATGTGTTCAATTCAATATTCAATTTATTGTATTCAATATTCAATATATCTATATTTAGCAAATCGAAACGACTCCCACGCTCTCACTTCTTAGTAGTGAGGAAGAGATTTCTGATGTTAAATGGATTTCTCCATGGTTAGTCTAGCCACTTACCATCCGGTGGACTATTTGGGAGGTTTTGTAACACTAATCAATATTTTGTTTTCTCTACTCGCAGGAAGACACCAGGGAGTCAACTGCCTGGACCAGGAGTTACAGGAATTGCAGAACCTAAACATTAATGAAGCTCAGTAAAACTGTTATTCCCTGAAAACTGTACCCCGCAGTTTTTAAAAGTCAATATCGCTGAATAAACTCTCTCCTGCGCATATCGTGTTCTGATTTCACTACGGTGAGCCTGCTGGTTGCCTATTACAGTTTCATGGTGGTTTGTAGTATTTATTAAGACCGCCATCATTGCTATCACACAAAATCCTTTCAAAGGTAAGGTAGCCGGTATAGTCACAGTGAATGAGGTAATGGTAACCGCTGGAACAAAAAATGATCATGAAAAATACATAATGCTAGAAAGATAGAATTAGTGAAGAAAAAGATAAAACAATAGATAAATACACATGGGAGACTCAGACATGAAAAAATTTGCATCTCAGAGCATCTTGTACTTTCATTTTAGCTGGAGATGTCAGTCTAAAGTGAATTATATGAAGATTATATCTCGGAGTGTCAGGTTGACAGTCCATTTGATACAGCACTATTGTAGTTACATCAGATGTTGACCGATGGTAGCATGAAGAGCTTGCATCAGCGATATTGACAGTTCGTCATTTCGCGAACGATTATCAGACCGTCCTTTTGTCAGGTAGGCAACTTTTTCCAAATGTGATCACATCTAGGCTTTGTGTAGATCGGACGTGAAAACCCTAAGAGTTTTGCGCGTGAAATAGTACACATTAGACGGCCTACCTACATTCCACACCACAGTCCGTGATAGAATCTTTGTTCTCTGTAAGGACCTGTGTGGGACCCTGATTTCACGCAAAAGTGAGATAGCATGTTATCTTTCAGGTGCACGGTGGCAGTACTCTTTCACTAACACCTGAACAGCTTTTCAAGGTTATTAATCTGGCTACCTACGTTTCTCACAACCCTTGCAGTTTTTACGTCGTCAGAGTTGAAGGTTGACGATTAATTCAGAGGGTACGGAGAGCGGTTGATGAGAAGGAGGAATAGGAGGGATCCTAGAGTGGGCTTTAAAGAACACAGGAGAATAACCTACACACAGACTATCGGGTTAAGTTAACTCTAATGCGGGATTTCTCTCAAATCAAGAAGCTTGCTGGCCAAGATAGGCGCGTTGTCTGTGTCTACCCTGTCCACCCAGTGGAGGATCGTGATGTTTGAAAGCGCGTAATATCCTAGAGAAACCAGAAGGGATGATTTATAGTAGAATAACTACAACGACATGAGTATATAGGGCTTCTACAACACTATGCTATGGCCACTTAGATGTGGTAAGCGACCAGGGAATGCAGAGGGATGAGACGTGTAGGCGAGTGAGAACTATGTCTCCTCTTTGACTTGAACAGCTTTCTTTTTCTGTTGAATGTTGAATGCCTTTTCGTGGGTTCGACAAGGTTTCCAGGTACACTGGCCCTATGCCGTGCTCTCAGAAATAGTCTCAAAAACTCAGTTAGTCTTCTGTAGTAATACGAGACATCGGTGGTTAATGTGAATAGTTATTTGGATAAAAAAGTTTGTTTCTAAAACATTGGGTTACTTAACGCAAACAACAGTCTCGCTGATCAGTATACAGTTTTCTCATACTCTTCTTCTGTCTTACATGAATCCCTTGAATGCTGGAACGTTAACATATGAGATTACAACGGGGATTTTTATACTACCCCAAGGCGGATAGTCAAATATCCTCTTGACCTGGGGCTTTCCAGAGCTGGACACCTGCGTTTCACCTGGCCCCGTTGTGAGACTGACTTGAATCGAGTCTACTGTTTTCGTCCATTAGGTCGTTGCGTCAAATTTTGTCTGGCACCTGGCATAGTCGCCATGTTGTTTAGTTGTCTGCTAACAGTAGTAACAGATGTCTCACCCATTTGCAGCTAGGTATTAGTACTATCAGGGCTCATTCCGGAGGGTCTACCCTCGGCGATTGGTTTTAAATGTGAGTCCTCCCGGAGATGCCCAGCAAGGTTTGCATGAAGCAGTCTCCCCTCTCCAAACTTCGGTACAAACCATGTCCTTCATGATTATGTATGCTCTGTGATAGACTGGCCTTCGTAAAAGTCTGCATTCACCCACACTTTTCGCCCCTCTTGTAGCATACTTTAGGTGCTTCGCTAAGACCTGGATTGCTATTACCAGAGTCTGTCAGTCATTAATCGGCAGCGTCTTAGGACTGTTTGTTGATAACTTCACCTGGTATTCCCAACTGTCTGTGGACTGGCAGAGATTATTCATCAAAGATGAACAAAACATCAGACTGGTTTCGTCTTTAGGTGGTGAATTTCAAATGTACTTCACCACTGGCCCTTCAGAACTATTTGGAAGATTCTGCAGCGGCCCTGGTATATTTGACATAAAAGATGACAAATGGTTATTAATAGGAATGTGTTCCATTCCCGGTAGCTCTCACTGAAACCATGCCATAGGTCAGTGTGGTCTTCTTCGCTCAACTCACCTTCATATTGTGTCAAGCATAGCAGCATACGACAAGCCTCTTTTTTTTGTTTTTGCTCCCGATATCAGGCTCAATTACTCACCTGACCTAAAATCCTCCCACAATGTTACCGGCTTGGTTTCTACAGCCAGAAGATAATCTGGATTTATACTTCATAACCTTCGCAACCAAGAATCTAAAATACCAGTGGACGAAAACCCACATATATCCACCTGTTGAGTAGAACACTCATATAGCAGTTTTATTAAAGACCAACTAAAGATAGAAATTGTTTAGAGGAGATTTAGGAGTGGAAGAAGTCCTAAAGCTCCTTTCAACTGCCGTTGCAAAACTCTTAGGGTTAAAACCTTTGGTTCATGAGCCAACGAATTAATCTCATTCTCTTAATTAGAGTTCTCAATTATACTAACCCAATAATGCCTCTTACCTTGCTATATCAGAGATTCACTCACGCAGTGGTGGGTCTTCTTTAAACCATTTTTTTGTCGTGCTACCCCTCTCCAACATCTTTACGGTTAAGTATTCATTATTTGGAACATGTAATTTCTTCCCAACCGAAGTGAAAAGCAGCTCCACAATAAGAGGATTCACTTATCTGCTGGACGAATATTTTCTCGAAAACGGTCATGATATAATTTACTACCAGCTGTGATGTTGAATCCCCCCTCCTTCGATTTATTTAACTGAATAGCTGCGTTCACCGTACACACTAACAGAAAAAGTTGGACACATCGTATATTTTTGGCGTAATTTATGTTGCGCTTATACTGTTCCAAATTGCTTATTTTACTTTGTCTATTTACTTAGCAAGTCTCACCTCAGAAATATCCATAATCCTGTCATAGGAACATGGATTGGAATGCACAGTCGAATTTCTCTTCATGGCAGTTGCAGTAGGTCTGGGCAAACCATCTTCTACGCAACGACGTCACCTTAATCAGCTTCGGAACATTACCCAATTTATCTCCTCTTATAACCTTCGAGCCACCCAACTGCATTTAACCTCAGTTATTTACTGTCAAATCAATCATCTTCCTTCACGTTTCATTCAACTTTATACAACTCCAAATTTTCGTCTCTAAACTGATCATCTGTTACAGTCTCATTTAAGAATACGAGTAATTCTCTCACACTATTCTGTAAGTCTAATCATCTGAAAGTAGTTCAAAAATAAAAATATGTTTGCATATCTCAACTTCATCAACTCTGAAAAGGCCTTCGACAGCGCAGCTTCTATCAAGATTTGATTTGGCAACTAATTCGCTGCTACGGGGTGCAATCGACAATACACATCTCATCCAAAAGTTATACGACGATGCTGCATATCAAGTAGTCCACAACGGGAAACTCACGGAATCTTTCGAAGTGAAGACAACAGTAAAATTAGGAAGATATGCGAGTGAAAAGTAACAAGTTTGCAGAAGAAGCATCAAAGATGGGAGAGAACACAGGTGAAAGTATAAAAAACAGAGGTGATGAAGATTCCCGGTCAACAACAACACCAACAACAACAGAAAACAATTAGCATAAATACTAGCAACCTGTTGTGTACTCGTCGCCAAATTATTGCTATGTACTGGTCGAGAATTTAATAGTCCTGACGCAAGAAGGCGGAAATCAGAAGACCACTAGGTTTGCGATGATACTTCTATTTTCCAAACACAAGGAGAAGCAATAAGTGGTATCACACCAAAGTAAGTAAGTCACACAAGATTGTGAGAGCGAAATATATATGAATGTCCAGACAAGGGTGTGAACAAATCAATGGACAGTCTTAACATGAATGGCTAATTATAATGAAGTATCAATCCATATATACATAGCAAATATAGCAGACATGTCAACAACCACACATATAATATGGATATATGTCACCAAGCAACGGACTGTCAACAAACACTCATATTATATATAATATAAGGGGAATATACATTGTTAAAGGAGACAGGTTCATCAAAGTGAAATAGTCACAGACTAAGCGAGCAAACAGAAAGAGAGATCACCATACACACACACATATATATATGTGGATACATATCACCTCCCCTTTTGAGAAGATTGATGATTAGTGGGATGTTTTCCTGGGGGTTTATCTGGAACCTTTGAGCTTGTTGTTGACGCCTGTCGTTTCGTCTGCCTGTTGGGTTTGCGGCTTCGGCTTCGTCCGGAATTGTCTGACATTTTATGCTTCTTGACCTCATTGCGTAGCGAATTTAGTGGGACATCAGCCAGATGCAAACGATCGAACCAA